TGATGCTATGAAAACGTGTGTGTCTGTGCGCACAGGTGGGACCAGGGCATGGCACAGCTGAGTTAAATGGGAATTTGAGCAGAATGTTTCCCATCCCCTCCCACCTCCCCTGAGGTCAGATACTCCTGAGAGTTTTCTCTGGTTTTCCCTTTTCACATTGGGTTTGGGATTGAGAAAACGCTTGSATTCAGGGGAGCTCTGTGTTAGAAATGGACAAACAACTGATTTGCACTGACTTTTGCTGTGAATTTTCGGAAAAAAAACCAAGCCAAAACCCTGACTTTCTTAAGGTGCTGCCCACGCAGTGAACAATGACTGTGGTTTTACTAAGTGGTATAACAAAATTGACTGTTTAGTTTGTTAATAATTTTATCTGGTGGCATTCTCTGAGATAGTCTGTTTTTGTACTCTTGGTCTACATTTATTCCATAACCAAGTCACATTACTGATTATATAAAAGATACATTATTTATTCCTTGGTTTTGAAGCTTTTTAGGTATGGTTTTATCTTCATCTACAAAACTGTTGTGCTTTCTGGTTTGTAAAATTTTTTTGCTTGTTGCTTCCATAGTCCTGATGCATTGCACTTCCGCTAGTGTCTGTTTCATATATGAAAAGCAGTTTAACTTTTTTGAGTCCTATTTTAACTGTATGAGTTTGGACTTTTGCAGGATTATCTTGKGAAGGATTTCTATTTGTAGTCACTAAGATTTATAGTTGTTTAATTTCACCTAAAAAAAATATCTTGTGTGTGCATTCTAAACAATCCTAGAAATAAACTGTTTTGCTAAAATAACACAATGTGTTTTCAGAAACTTGACACCAAAACCCACTAAAAGCATGAATCTGATAGCCCACAGCATTTTTTTAAATTGYACCCTATATATACATATATATGAAAATTCTTTTCCCCTAAAGGTTTCAAAATTATTGGAGGGACTTCTAATGGTAATATGACTATAATTAAAATAATCCTTCTGTTCTTAGTTGTTGGMGATAATATAAATGATAGTTTAAGTGGAAACCAACCAAACACCCAGATTCAGAGGTATGATTTTGCAGTATACTTATTTCAGGAGGTTTAGTTAAGATGTGTCATTTAGGGGGAAATGGGGGAATTCAGATGCCAGAGATGGAAGAGATTCCTACTTAGGAACTTTAAGAGACTGCCTGTTTTGCTGAGAAGCAGATGTTCACAAAACAGAATTTTCCGTAAAAGGTTTCTGTCTGTGTGCAGTGGCTTTTTTTTTAATGTAATTGTTGTCTCATTTCAGAGGCAGTACAGCAGTTAATTTAGGCAGGCCCTAACAACCATGTTTTGTTATGCCATTGTAATTCTGCAACATCGACATGCAATAGCATTAGTCTTATTCTGAGATGTCTTCATTTTCAATCCCTACTCTTATCCCCAAATTTTCAGGTTTCTAGCCTGCTTATCAGTTTTCTTAGACTGGTCTTGGGAGTCTCCAGGTTTTGAAAGAAGGCTGTCTCATAATCTGCCTCTTTATCCTGCTCTGTTAGCGACTTAAATGCAGAAAGAGAAATGCTTACACTGAGCCACCAATTTAATAATACGCAATAAATTTAAAAAAACCCCACAGATAATCATATAGAAGTAAAATGCATCTATTTGGGTAGGTTTGTAACCATGACTCTCTTTTTGATAGTTATTATTTTCAGGATAAAGTTGGATCAAAGAGATTTTTCTTTCAACAATGTGTGCTTGCCTTTTATCTGCATTAGAAAATAAGTGTGAATACTTACCATCATGCCAGTAATTACCTGCATGCACACCTCAAACAAAAGTGCCTTCTACAGTGTCTGTAACACCAAACACTTTGTCCTTGAGACTGACCTCTCTGAGGTAGGGTGGTTATGATGAACGTAGGGCTGGAAACAGCAAGGGTTAATCAATCAGAGCTTCCCCTGTCTAATCCTACAGATAAGTAGTGGGGCTGAATGCAGTGTCATCCATATGTGTTGAGATTTCTGGGTYCTATGCCTCCACCCACACAGACTGTAGTGTGAGGGATTCTGCTGCTCCCATGAGAATTTGCATATAGGTGGCTGTGAATCCCTTTGGCAAAATTGATCTGAGCAGAGCTGAAGATAAATGAGAGCCTCTTGATGATAATGCATTTATTAAAAGCTTGTTTTCACAGTTTGTTCAAATAAATAAATAGTGTTGAATATGAAAACTAACYGAAAACCCAAATATTTGCTGTTCCCCCATGAAAAAATGAATTTTAGTTCAGAGTTCTAGGTAGACCTGGTTCTGTTGGCTGTACTCCCTGTTCCCTGTACAAGGCTTTTGCACTCAAAAAATGGAAATGGCAATGTGCCATATACCACATATTAAAATTGCACTGTTATAAAAGCAAGRAAAAACGCACTTTGCAGCACTTCAACTTATCATTTGGTGCCAGCTGGCAGTGTGGGATTGGAAAGGCTACTGGTTAGTCTTTTMTATTTGGTCTTGCTTGCTGTGTGATAAGTAAGAGGTCTATCTTCCCTGACACCTTTTATCTAGGATCTTGAACTGTTTCAGCTTTGTCTGTGGATGGGAAGGATTTAATTAACCTTTGCAGTTGTTGTGTTACACTGGCCTGTATTACAGTTTCTTTATATGGCTGTGCTGATATGCACACAGGTATTAGTGCCGGTGAATCTGTGGAATGCTGGTTGCAGTGTGCACCCATTCCATTGATCATAATCCAGACTAAATGAAAAGACGAAGCCCCGTGTGCTCTAGAAGTGCAGCCCCCAGCCCATGCAAAGGGAGGATTTTTTTAAGGAGCTAAAATATTTAAAACTGATGCCTTGGTGTTTTCATCATGCTGAAGAATTGCCTGTTGTTGAGGAATACCTGTAATGCCAGTAGCTCAGGATGCAGCAGCAGTGGAGCTGCAGGCTATGCCCTGGATTGGATGAATGGCTGGAGCCCCAGGCAAGGGGCTGTGACCTGCCTAAGGGCTTGAAGTGTCTCTGCTGATTTCAGTGGGAGGCTTTTCCTTCCTTTCTGTATCCCAGTTCAGCCCCTCGGTGCCTGGTACAGAGCAGTGGGGTGGGAAGGTGTGTGTGGACCCAGAGGTGTCGCATATATCAAGAAGCCAGAGTTAGGTGGGAGTGCAAGGCTGATGGCAGCAGCGGGTCAATGTTGTCTAATTTATCTATAGATACAATTGTTTGTGTAGCCTCTATGTATGTGTATGTATGGAAAGACAGTGGAGAAGTTGGAGTTTGTGATGAAACTGCACTATATTCCATGCTGTGCTGGGATGAAAGGAAAAGGTCAGGGATGTAGGCCAGCTTAGACCCAAGAGACAGCTCCTTTTAACACGAGTGSGGGTGGTGTGTGGAATGTACTATGCAGGAACATCAGGGAATGTCTTGGAGATCTCTCTGTGCTACCAGGTGGCTGTTGGCATCCAGCCCTAAGCTGATGTGCAGTTGCAGCCATTCTGGAATACTTAAGGGAAAAAAGAAACCTGAAGTTCTTCTTTCCACAACTAGAAGCCAAATTATACCATACTCAGYTGTAAGGAAACTTCTTTTTGATTTGTGTAGAAATCAGGAAAGTTCTAATGCAGGTATATAATAAAATAATTGGAATATGAATATGCCTTAAAAATGATGGTTGGTTCTTTGAAATCCTATTTGATGCCCCTGCCCAYGGCAATCAACCCAGGRGGGTTGGAAATAGATGACYTTTGAGGTCCTTTCTAACCCAAACCATTTTATRATTCTAYGYATCAATCATTTGGAGCCTGAARTAGAAATTATCATATCCCCAATCTACTTCACTGTAATCTTTAYTGACTTGAGCACTTCTTTCCCATGTTGAGACTTGTGCAATGTAGGGAAAAATTGCTCATAATGGGCTAAAGTAGATTTTGTCATGTATGGTTACATTGCTTCTGTGTTTACCTGTCTGCAAAATACATACATGCAAAGAATTTGAAAGTAGAAAAGTTGCACTGGGTTTTTCTAGTTTTGTGGAAATTGATCATAAAAGTTGTATGACATGATAAAAGTACAGGGTTATTTTTTTGGGGGCTAGCTTTTGTATATTATTGGTGTCTGAGTTATTACAGGCTGCTCTTTGTGGATCCATATGTGAAAAAATAGATTATATGGGAAAAATTAGCCATGTTTCTCCATGCATTTCTGGGAAATTTAAAAAAAGAGATAATTCATTTTTGTTTAGATTCTGACTTTTCAAGAAGAGATGCAATTACATAAAGAAGGTGSGGTGGCTGCACATAACTGTGGTGTTTTCTGTGAAGATGAGAATGGACCAGCTACTCTTGTGGTAAGTTATTACTTGCAAAAAGCAAACATGAATAGTAAGCATTGCTGAATAAAAATGGCCTCTTTGGCTAGAAMAATGTTAAGTGTCACAGAAAGTGACTTCTGGAATTTGCATTTCCAGCATTTTCTTTTAGGTGCCAAAGTTTCAGTCGTGCTAGGTTTTGCTTTTCAGTGTTCTGGAAAGGATGGTGGTGTTATATAAGATTTTGCTGACAAGAAATCTCTCAGGTCCCCAGGATAACTACTGGAAAATTATGATCCCTCAGCTGATCATGTCAKAATGGGCCTGTTCTGATGAACTCTCAAACTACTTTCCAGGATTATAACCCAGGATATTAACAGTTTAAATAATCTAGATTCACAAGTATCAGGGTAAAAATACCCAAACAAATGTAGTATTTCATTAATACTAAATCAAGCCAATCACTGGAGTGAAAGTTTGCCTTTATTTATTTGMTGTTTCTGTTATCCAGAGGTCTGAGTTCCATCCAGAAACACCTGTATCATCCTCTTAGCTTGTCCAAGTCAAACTGCTTCAAGATTGTGGTCAGTGGGCTGATGGAAGCAGTCTTGTAGCTGTTGTTGGTTTATTCTGTATTAACAATAWGCATTTTGCTTGAAGATCTTTCACTGAAAAGAAAACCCCTTGATCTGCAGGAATAATTGAATTTAAAATGTTTGCTTCTTTCAGAAGTAATGAAGTTTTAAATGAAGGATGCAAGCAAAAAGTAGAAGTGAAAACACTACAGATGAGGGTAATAGGATTTTATTTTTTTTAAATTTGCTTTTTTTGCTCAGGCATAGAACATATGTGTTTTCTAGGGCAGGAAGTAAATTATTTGGTAATAGCTGTTATCTGTTATCGTTCATGAAAACATAATAAAACTAGGAAAATGGTATCCAGTCTGCAGAAATTAGAAACCATCAGATAGCTGGGACCTGGCCTGCAAATAGGAGTAGGGTAGTAGCCAGGAGGTGATGATTGTGGATGAACCAGTTTTCAGCACTTGGTAGTAGCAGTAAACTTTTGGACTAGACTAGTATTTACATGTGGAAAGCTGTGTGGAAACACTAGTGATGATCTTGGGGAAGACAGAAACATCCTGTTTTGTTTGCATCTTGCTCTCCTTGAAGAGCTCCTTAGCCTTACTTAATCTGCCTTGAAGACTGAAAATCATCAGATAAATGAGAGCCACCCTCACAGCACCAGAGCCACAGTATCATGTATCTAATATTTGACTAATATTTTTGATACATGATTCATCTTCARCTGTTAGGATTAAGCGTAAAATAAAACAGCTTGTTTGAGATTTTGAGACAGGTCTGTGGCTTATCCCTCATCTCCACTTTTGCTGTTCCAAGCAGTTGAGAGAAGGACAAGTGTTCAGTCTGTGGGTTTTTAAATACACAGAACTATAAAATCTTATCACTTCCTTATCTTGGCACCTGCAATTCTATGCCCTTCTGAATTTATCTGATGAGATAATCACCTATGTCTCTGTTGAATGTAGGGATTGAGAAATAGGGTAGAGCTGAAAACATTGGTATCWGTTAAACTGGGCTCTTGGTGACTGCAGCTGCGAACACTTTATTTAGAAAAAGAAGCCAGAGAGAGAGGGATCTCAAAGGCAGTGCCTGCCATCTTAGTGGCTTTGCAGATTCAACACAGGTCTGAGTTATTTTTGATGCTCCAAAAACTGCTTCTGTCTGCTTTTACAGTTGTGGAAATCAACTGAGGATTCTCTTTTACCCCTTTTGCAGAACTGCACAAGTGAGTTATTTTTCCTGTGCTTTCTGTTTCTGGCTTTGGGTTTTGCATTCACTTCTGTGCAGTGAGTCCAGGTCTGTCACTGCCTGGAAAAGTGGTTATGCCACCAGCTATTATCTAAAAGTACTGCTACTTTTTCCAGCTGCACTTCAATTCTCTGGCCATTCAAAGAACAGCTGCAGGATTGTGAGAGGAGACCTGGGCTGTGCATGTTCTGGACAGAAAAAGGAATTTAGATCAAGTGCAGTGGAAAATGTTTCCTCTAAGATAACTAGCTGGTTGTCATCCTTCACGCCTGTAGCTTTAGATAAGCTCAGCTTGAATGCCTCTTCCTCCCCAGACATTGTACGGGAAGCATTGGATCGCAACKTTGAGATTTGGATTCCATCCAGGGAACCACAGGCCTGGAAGACACATGTGTCAGTGGACCACTCAGAGGTGTCCAGGCTTCTTACTGAGCCCAGTGATTTCAAAAGAAGATCTGTGGTAAATGTTGGGTTTGGTGAAATGATCTGGGGCAGTTTTGAGGTGGCTATTTATGGCAGATACTGAGTACAGTCCCCAGCGTGAAAGTTTCATTATATAGCATTTTGTCCATCTGTTCTGTGATTCTGATTTTTTTTTTTTTTTTGTGATGGGAAAGAAGCTAAAATTACTTTGGAATTTGTTCTTCTTCCTTGCTGCTTGTCTAAGGGGGAAGGTAAAGTGAAATGTCATGACTTTAATAGGAATTTTGTGGATTGGCAGTGTTTTCTTTTTCAGTTAACACTTGAAGAATTATTTGGGGTTTTTTTCATTTCTTCTTTCACAATCATTTTAATGCAAATTAAAAAAGAAAAAAAGATTATTATAAACCTTTTCTGAGTAGTCAGTAAAAATTAAGAGTCACTTATTTTTGGCATCAATTTCCACGTGCCATTGCTGCTGGTAGCAATGGTAACTCGGGGTTTTTTGGTGCTTTTTTAGCATAAAACCTTTGAACTCCTCATTTCCAAGAATTTTCTGTGTTAATGAGAGCAGCTCTTCAAAAAGCAGTGCAACAATACAGTTTATGCGATTCTTTGATAGCTGTTGGGTAAAAGATAGAGGTAAAAGATATTTCTRTCCTCAAGGGAATTAAAAAAGGCTGACCAGATGCAAAAGTGGAGCAGCTTTGAACTTTTTATAACTAATGTTAAGACCATACCTAGGGAAGCACTCAAAAGACAGCACAGCTTTTTCTGTGGTTAGGTTAATAAATGTGCTTGCAATTGGAAATTATTAAAACTTTATTTAAGAAAAGCCATTTGAAAAMATATATGCAAGCACTCTATAATTACTGTTTGCATAAACTTGATGTATTGATAACTAAGATCCAGAGTAAATACCTTTTTCTGCTGTCATCTATATTTTTGTTTCTYTTAAGATGGTTTCTTACTAAGTTCTGATTAATTCTATTATTTCATAGGAATTTTAAGTACTTTGCTTGATTTCAGGAATCAATTAAAAGAAAAAATTAGAATGCTCCTTTTCTGGGAATCTTGCAATTTGAGTAAAAGGTGATCTTGACATTCTTCATGTGAAGGTGCTACCAGTTCAGCAGTGATGTTATTAACCATTGTTATATCACAGTATTAAAATTAATGTTTTTGATACCTTTAGTATCTTTCATCCCAAAGCCACTTTAGAGAAAATGTGTCAGCTGTCACCTACTAGATGTCTTAATGCCTTGGTGTTAGCTCAAAATGACACCGCATTCACATGAAAGAGCTTCATTGACTGACAAGGATTCACTGGGGCACCTGGTGCTTTGTTTCAGGAGGATAAGTGCTGTGCTTGAAAGGAATCCATGTCAAGATTACACCCTGAATCTGGGATCAAAAGAAGGAACAAAAGAYGTTTCATGGGCATCTTCCAAGCTACAGTTTCATGTCGTAATCTTGCTTCATCTGTCGGTGGTAGCAGAGGAAGATGAGTTGGAGAGTGTCATAAATTGCAGCTTGACTTGGAGCTGACGACAGGCAGCTGGCTGGTGTAGGGTTCATATCCAAGGACATAAGGAGCCCAAATCAGGTGCATAAACACAGATACCAGTGTGATGTGAAATGCTACAGGGAATTCTGTTTGTTATCTGGTTGCTAATTCAGGAGGGATGTAGTTCTCCTCACCGTCCAGGCCTGTGTTGATTGTGTTGGACTTCAAACCAAATCTCTCAAATGTCATCAAGTGCTSATGATTACGGAATTGTGCTCCATAAGATGCAAGAAGTCCAGCTCACCCAAGAGGATTATTTGGATTCCAAGTGTATGATTTCCATAATGTGTTTGTTTTACTTGAGCCCAGAGCAAATAAGACAAATCACTGAGGGGAAAATGCAGGAGAGGGACCTGCCAGGTAGGTGTCAGTCARGACTGATCTCTGTCGTGGATTTCAGCTCCAGTAAACATAGGGTATCACAGAGGTTTGCAATGGCCCTCAATAAAAATCGCTGCAGATAAATCCATCCCCACTATATCTTAATTCTTAGGCCTCAAATACAGAGATCCGTTGTTATTTCCTTTTCTAAAATGGCCAATTGCTAAAATATGATTTGGAGCCTCTCTTTTTCTCTTGAAGGCAGATAATAGAATTTTCTGCAGATGCTGACTTTAGTTATGTTTTTWTTTTTAATTTTCAGCAGTCAGCTATCTATTTCAGTAGCTATCAGTCTTCAAATTTTGACCTTTCTGAGTTTTCTTTGATTTAAGAAACAAGAATAATATTTTTTTCCCTGAAATACTTCCCCCCTTCCCCACGATGAATACATACAAGGATGTTGCGGTCCCTCTTCAGTGGGATAATTAGATCACTTATAAGAATAATCCTTGAMAACTGGCTTCTGCAAACTATTCTCAGTCAACAGAAGTGGTTGTCTAAGCCTTTAAACCTTGAGGCAGGTTATGGTCTTGACTTTYCTGTCAGCAGAAATAATGCAATATTAAATTGAAGCCTGCCAGGTGGTTTTGGTATAACTTCCAGAATTTTATTTTTTTTTTAAGTTTTCCAGCTTTGCCTAGATTGTTATTCCAAGTGCTGGCTGTAGATTTATCCAAATTTACAAGATTACATGGCTGTCTAGATCAGATACTTTATTCCAGTATAGGAAAACAGACATTGATCATACCATCTCTCTATTTTTTTCAGTGAGGTAAACAGATTAGGATCCCTGTGTTTCTCTGGCTCTGGCAGGATTTTCATAAGTGTGTAAATTTTTTGGGAGCTCGGGATTTTGTTTTTGAGTTTTTTTAAAAATTCTTGCTCTTTTTGAGACATTCTTTGCAATATGGCAGGATGAAATGAAGAATGCTGAKACAGTGAAGAGGGGGAAGGGWTAGAAGCATGAACASTGCCTAAGTGGAATGAGAATGCCTRGGAAACATGAATAGCTCTGTTATATCTGAGCTATTACTTCAGTTCTAAAATTGAAATATGCTGGTTTGGAATTACACTCTTTTCGTATCACTGTTCTGCACCTTTGGGCAATTATAGAGCTGTCGAGCACAGCCAGTTTGTACATTGTCCTCACTTAGCTGCTGTTTTGTTCCAGAATTRGTATTAAAATAAGGTGTTTAAAAGWGTTGCTTTGGCAGACCTGCACCATKCTCTGTGGTAGCAGCAGCTGAGCCTGCTGTGGGTACAACAACCCCAAGGGTCTTATTCTGTTTATCTTCAAATATGTCTGCTGCTTTATCTTGGCAAACAGTATCTGAGTGTGACATTAAATTACATTTGTACCCATTGAGCCTTGCAGTGCTCACTGACAGGGACCTTGGATTCMATTAGGAGTTGTGGGAGGAAGAGGAAATGTGTTTTTTGAGGTGTTTTCTCAGGCCCTGTGCCAGCCTGTGTGACACAGAGATGTGCAGTGGGAGCTGTTCCTGCTGAGGGGAAGCAGCCAAGGCTCCCTTGGGCAATGCTGCCTCAGATGGGAAGGGTKCATGCAGGTGCTGGTGAAATACCCACTCTTCTGCCTTTGGCCAGCATTTGAGAGCATCACAAGCATTCCTGAGCTATTCAGTGTGGAACACAGGTGTGGTAAACAGAATTTTTACACCCTTCGAGAACGTGCATGTCAGGTATATGGCACTGGGTATTTGCCCTACCTTATCTCACTATGTTTTGCTGTGAATGAATTTTGTACAAATCAAATGAAAGTTTAGCTGTTCTACTTCTTTTTAACTCACAGGCAACGCTTGAGTCCTCAGGGCTAGTTTCTGTCTTTATAAGCTGCAGCCTTTACAACTCCTAGTTTAAGTGAAACCTTTTTGACCTATTTCTTGGGTCAGGGCTTAGATAAAATACAACCTCCAAAAAGGCTTTTTACATTATGTGATCATTCAGCTYCCAAAGGGGAGCAAGAACACCTTTGAAATCACGTATTTGGAAGAAATAGTTGGGGGAACCAAATGCATGAAGACAGTCAACCCAATTGCTTAAAAAAAAAGAACATGTACTGCTAATTGTGAACTAGGATTCTATAAYCCTGATATTAGTTAGGACTGTTTGGTTTCCTTGTAGGAGCAGAGACTTGCTTATGTGCAAGASATGTGGCATGAGGACTTGGTAAGTAAAAGCATCACCTGGTAAGCTTGAAAAATAATCAGTGAGTTGTCCAAGCTCTTATGTGAGAGTTAAATTTAAGAAATGAAACAATTCCCAAGCAAGTAATGTACCAATAAAGATTTTATAGCAAAAGGCCATATTAGAAAAGCTTTTGAAGCAACCCAGACACCAGAGTTCAGTGGCAGAAGATGCTGAGCTATCTCTCAGCAGGGTGCTGAAATCCATGTAGTTCACTCACTAAATCTACTAATGGATTCTTTTCCAATTTTCTTAAGTCTGTGCAACTTTGAATACAACAGTGTTTAGCCAAGAGAATTATTTGGCCCAGCTCTAACTAAATCCTACCTTAGGGAACATATTATTGTCATGGTAACATAACCAAAGCTTTTACTGTTAGCTCAAGATAGGAATCTGTATTGTTTCAAAATGTATGTTTGGAGCACAACTTACTGAAATCATCAATATTTATACAGCAGATAATATCTTCAGACAGGCTGGACACCATCTGTCACAGTCTGATTTAATTTTATGGTCACAGCAAAGTGAACTGACGGTGTGGAATTTTTCACAGAAGTCAGCTGGAAGTGTGTCATGGTTTTCAGGTAAGCTTGTAAAATGTTGTAAATGATGGTTGTGCATTCATGTTATGTAAATGGRAAAAGTACTCATCTGGGGGAGGGATTGATTTCTGTTTGTTTGCATCCTGAAACAAGTTTAAATTCTGTTTAGTGCTCTATTGTACTGGAATAATTTATAATTGAATCCTTCATACATGCCTTATGTATCTCGGCAGGGAAAATTGAGCATGAAATCATTCACTCTGGAAGAATTACTGAATACAGGAAGTGRCAATTTTTAAAATTAAGTAAGACTTGAGCAGTTCATGGTGTTACCTTCAGATGGCAATTTAAAATTAGGTTGTTTTTCATAGTAAGCATTTGGCTTATGGCACCTTTAGCATTTTATGTAATGTTTTCTATCATTGGGACAATGAAACACCTATGATTAATTTATTCAAAATTATGTTACTGTTTTAGGGTATATTTATTTGCTAGAGTTTTATGGGACATGCAGCCCATGASAGTAGCCAAAGCATTTTCAAAAATGGCAGTAGTATTATTGTGTGCTGCAATTGTTTTCTTGATATATGTGTCATCAAATTAATAGTAAAATATTTTTCACYAACAATGCAGTAATTGAAGGAACAGATTAAATAATTTCATGTACATTGCAACACTCCTGTTTCTCCAAKACTTGGATGCTTGAAGCTATTCATCAAGTTCATTTCCTCTACTGAAGTAAGTATTTAACATACAGCTTTGTACATCTAATTCACTGCCTAGTGAGATGTATGTGCATCTTGCTGTTTTCATGTTTATGGGCTTTGTATCAGGRCATCCTTTTTCTAATGTTGATCAGTGTAAAGGCTTGAACTCTTCRTATTTGTGTATTTGTGTGCATGCGTTTGTGCACGCATTTCTCCTGTGTTAGTGCCTGTCTGCTTAATGCACATCTGCTAAGATTTGTTTTATCTTATATTAGATCTTGGTTMAGAAATACATGGATAATGAAAAGCACTCTTGACTTGAAGAGTCATCTTTTCCCTGAATCTGCTCTTGTCYCCTACTACATATAAACCAGGATTTCAATATCTAAAATAATACATTTTGGTCAGACAGSTGCTGGAATTTGTCTTTGTTTGTACAATGTACAAGCAAGTGATCAGTGCAACTCCTTAGGTTACTTACTGTTAATCAGTTTGTTTTTTAAGAATTCTTCTGGTACATCTGTTGTGCTGATTCACTGTCTCTTTCACTTTAAACCTCGCTTGTGGAAAAAATGAATCAAGTGGACTTGTCCAACAGCCATGCCCTCCCCTGTGATATCACTGCCTGTTCTCAATTASCAGGCTTTATCTCCAGCTGCACCTTGTAATTGCAGTATCTCTGTATTGGTCAGGCCACATGAAGGTAAAAGGAAAGTTTAGCTTGTGCTTTTAGACCCCAGAGTTACACAGAAAGTTGACATGATGCTGCTGGTCATGGTCATTTCTCCATCTCTGTTTAGTTCTGTTACATTTGTCCATCTGTATAACAAAGTTAAATCCTGAGATTAAAATGTACATTATTTCTTCATGGTATGACAGTGAGAAGGCAGTGGAAGGAAAAGTGGTGAAAGAAGGGTTATAGGAGTATGTGTAGCTTCCTTAGCTTTTTTTAAAGCCTCTCTCAACCATTAGCATAATAACAATGCGGAAAACGTAATAACCTTAAAGGCCTCTTGATGGAGATGATCAAAAAATCCAAGATTATGATTTCTTTTGCCTGGGATAAAGTCCAGGTCAACCTTCATCAGTAATTTTTCCTTGAGCATGAGACTGAATAAGAGCAATGAAGGCACTGCAAATTTTTCAATTTTTTTAAAACTAGCATAGAAGTTCAGTACAATGGAGGGTTGTATAGTGCACAAATGAGAGCTGCAAAAAGACCCCATTTTTTGTATTGCATTCTCAAGCTTGAAAWATAACTTGGGAAGAAAGGCACTCTTGGATTTCATGTACTGTGGGCATATACCTGGGGAGAGCAGCAGTGACTGGTTCCATGGATAGCCTGGAACACATCTTCACTTTTCCACTTGAGGCTGCACCATTACATCAGGCTGGAATCATGCAAAGGTGTGGCTGAAAGCGATGTTGAGAAATCCTTTAGTTCTGGCTTTAGCACCAACTTGGGTGGAAGAATTGGTTCAGAGATTGGTTTGTTGCTTTATGCCTTCAAACATGAAGATGCTTGCTCACTAGGAGTTTATTTTAGTGTCCTTAATTTAATGTGATTCAGAAGAATATGAGCCMTGTAAGGCAGAGAGAGCTGAACGGGGTGTGCTGCAGTTCTTAAACCATCACAGTTTGCAACCCAGTGCATTAAGCCTTCCCCAATTTCAAACTGCTTTAATGTGCTGGATTGCAAACTGYGGCAATTCAGGAGTTTCTACATTCAGCCATCCACGCAGCAGGCTCTGGGAGAAATGTGCTCCCAGTGTCTCTCATGAGAATCAATGACAGAGGTACAGACTAGCTTTCATCTCCTGRGCCACAAATTGTATGAACTTCTTTTGGTATTTGCATTTGCAGTGAAACAAGGTGTTTTGTACTAAAGAGGACCAACACTGAATGCTTTAGAGGCACAAAGAGGAGGTCCAAGAGCTTAGCTGAAATTAATTTAGTTGGCTCATTATGACCTTCATAGCTGATTTTGTGCTGTRAACATCTGCTTCTGTCCAGTCGACCTTAAATTCAGACCATGCCCACTTCTGGCCTTACCTGTCACAGAAAGCATATCCACCAGTTAAGACTGGCACAGCTATTCTGGGAAACCAGTGCCAAAAAWGATTTGTTTAAATTGCTTGATTCAAATCTGATGCATTATGTCAGGCCATTACAGTGTTTAGGCTGAGGCCTGATCCCAGCGTGGAATGCATTTTATGGCATCTTGGCGTATCGTGGCCCGGCCAGTAAAACATCTTGGGATGTTTTATAATCACTCAAGATGAATGTTTCAAGGGCAAGTGTCTTAATTACACAGGAAAGCTTCTGTCACTTCTGCAGAAGCATAGGCTCTTTGTTTCTTCTCTGCTTCTCCAATCYCAGTCTTGTAGTTATGTCAAAAGCATCCACCCTTTATCCCTTCTGCACCAGTGAGTGGTCAGTTAAAGGTATTTTCAAAGATGTTTTCCTGACTCTTACAATAGTGTGGAGGTGTTGCTTTTTTTCCTAGAAAACTTAAATTTATTTTATCTTGAATGTTTTTTTTTGTAATACAGGCAAGATAYGTGTATGGATGTATTTTAAGGAAAAAAATCCTCTTTGCTTCAGATTAATAAGAAACTCATACATATATGTGATATATATATATTTGTGTGTGATTGCTGTAGGTGGAGTTTTCCACTAGAACAGCAAAAAGCTTGAATGGCTTTTATGCAAGAAACAAGACACCCCMAAAAAAAGAGACTAGTATGTAGACTTTCTTCAAAGAGGTAATTTCATTCTGGTCTTTTGCCTAACTATAGTGAATTGTTTAAGAACTCTGTAAGCAGAAGAGAAGTATTTTTTCAGGGTATTCTCTTGTCACATCTGGAAGGAATGAAACCTTTCTCAGGGTGAAGGGAGGCTCCTTTGCTTGGAGTCCTTCTTGGCTGGAATTAGTAGTCACTCCTTCTGMAAATGTGATAGTAATGTCCTAGACACTAAGAGAGTAGATGTGATATGATGTCATAGAGAGAAAAGTAAAAAGAATGAAGGGGGGGTTGTGTTTTTAAGACAATGTGAATACTGCCTGTTTAAACTTTGTCAATGTTGTGATGAGAGTTCTGGGTTTTTTTGTTTTGATATTTTGTAGTTACTSCTAATTGTGGCTTCTGCTATGCATSTTGCAGCATCTTTATTGTCCCTTCTCCCCTCATCACTCAGAAAAGTAAATTTAACTCCAGATGCCTGAAGCTTACCCAGTCAAATATGCTATGAGTATTGAGACCAGTGGCTTGACGCATTAAAAGTATCTGTCCTATTTMTTATTTCTACCATGCAGTTATTTGCAAACTGCAGTGGAAGTTGTGCCCTCTGCCCTTCTTGCCTGCTCAGGGCACKGGTGACAATGGCAGGACATCTTCGCTTTGGTCATCCCCACACTGTACATTACACAATCTGTGGTCATTGTTAGCTTGTGATACAGGTGTTAAGTAAACGTGGGGAGAAAAAAAAGACAACTGTCAAAGTTGGACCTATAGAATTTTTTCTCACTGCAACTGAATGTGTTCAGACTTTCATGCATGTATTTTGTATGCAGGAATGGTGTACGAATCAAGAAAAAACTTTGCTTCTGAAAAATAAGAACATGCAGGAGAAAGAGGCTAATGGAGGAGGGAGAGTGGYAAGTGTAGACAAGAATGGGCAACTCAGTCTCAGCTCAAGGGCCAGTCACTGTCACAAAGTGACTTTACTTTGTCTCTAGTGAGATTAAATGATTTAAGTGTTTATGTGTCCCATCGTATGTCAGTGTTTGGACTGCTACAGGCGCTTGGATGGCCCTCAGGAAGGCAAAAGTTACCAAACCKGAGTTAGATGAGGCCTGTGCTAGTGTTCCACATCACACAGGACTCTGTTTGGCACTGGGTGTGGTAAAACCGGTGGAATATTCAGACCACTGGCAGGAAAGCTGCAGTGAGTTCCTTGGTGTTCTTTTCAACCAATGAAATGRATATTCTGAAGGAAATGGTCTGGGTTTTTTTTCAAAGATGGGTATTTTGKCAAGATAGAATGTGTCCATAATAGGAGGAAAGGCAAAACAGATTGGGATTGTTCAGCYTTGAGAAGCCTTTGGGATGACCTAACTGTGGCCTTCCACTGCCTGAAGGGAGCCTACAGGAAAGGTGGAGAGGGACATTTTAYAAGGGCATGTAGAAACAAGACAAGGGGGAATGGCTTCAAACTGAAAGAGAGCAGGTTTAGGTTGGATATTAAGAAGAAATTCTTCACTGTAAGGGTGGTGAGGCACTAAACAGGTTGCCCAGAGAAGCTGTGGCTGCCCCATCTGGGGAAATGTGCAAGTCCAGACTGGATGGGGCTYTGAGCAATCTGGTCTAATGAATGGCATCCCTGCCCTGAGATATTGGAACTACATGATCTTTAAGGTTGCTCCCAACCCAGGCCATTCTATGACAATATTTCTGACTAGCTCTTGTCACAGTCTAAATCTCATGGAAGTGWAGTAGCCTTCCAGTTTACTTTCTTTGCTGTTTAATGTCAGAARAGGGGAGATATCCTACAGTTTGATATGTGCAGAAGAAATGTTATCTGCTTAATTTTTAGACTTGAGGACATCAGAAGTCATCAACAACTCTGCTTAGTTATGTGAACAAAAAATGCAATAGTTCCCTCTGTGCAGTGGTAATTTTTAGAGGTGGGATTTGTGGCAATCTAGAAGAGGGCATAACATCCTGCTGGTGGGGACATCTTTAGCAGGTCCATGGGCTTCTGAGGAACTCTGAGAGTTGCACTGGTCGTTCGTTCGAACAGTAGCTGTGTTCAATAGCTGTGAAGGAGATAYGTTGAAATGTTATTTTTTTAAAAATCCATCTCCTAAGCATGAAATATAACTGAATTTTAAAGATTTGTGCATTTTTTTAGGGTGATGGGCATATATGCCTTTGTCTAGCGGCTGATGTAAACAAAAGAGCAGATCTACCCTGCTATTCCTACCTTCTCTCTGTACTGCAGATGTCTGAGCTGCTGCTGCTGCTGGTAAGTGCTACAGGAGGCTGCTCGGCTTCCCTTTGCAGGCTGCTCTCTCCCCTGATTCTCCAGGAGATACCATAGCTGTGGCTGCAGATTAGATTTTTCTCTCCCTCCCCCTGCGAGACCTCTGTGTGCTTTGACGTCATGTGTGCTCCTTTCAGTTGCCATAGCAGCCCCATTCCCCAAGCTCTCTGCCTGTCTCCTCTGGTAGGTTCCACAATGGTACAGCCAGCATCACGCTGCACAATGGTTTCCAGGCACTGAAAGAGCGTGATTCAGCAAGCCACTCTTCCCCCCCCTCCCCTTTTATTTCATTATTATCAGACATTTTGCCTCCCCTTTTTCTGTTCTCTTCTACCCTCTCCCCCAGGCTTTTATTCAGTTCTTTAAAGGAAAACGGTGATTTACCTTGAAACCAACTGCCCATCTTTTTTCTTTTTCTTTTTTTTTTCTTTTTGTTTCCTGTTATTATAAATAGCCCTTTTTTTTTTCCTCGGCACTGTTTGGAATGTGATTTAAAAATACCACCTAAAGTCGCAGTTTGGGGAAAAGGTTTCTGGACGAGGAGAATAGCTCGCAAGCAAGGAATGGTAGGTGGTTGATGCTAATATTCTTTGACTAACTGCTTTCGCAGGGTGGGGTGATGAATATTGATTGCTGTTTGAGGAAAAAAAAAAAATAAAGCAGGGGAGAGGGAGAGAGAGGGACAGGTTAATGAAGTAAACTGCTAAGCGAAGCAAGAAGGCTGCACCTGTCCATTTTGTGGCCAGAGAACCATCATTTTGCTGYGTTCGGGTGTGTATGAGCTTTAATGTTTGGGCACTGTAGGTGACCGGTGGCCGTGGGAGCAGGGCAGGGACTCACCGTGGATGGTGGTGCTTTACCAGCTGGCTCATGTAAACAGTGGTGCTTTACTCAGCCTCATCACCTCTAACGCTGCCTGGGGGCTTTGGGGGGAAGGAGGTGTCTTGGCTGGCAGTTCGGTAGAAAAATGAGTGTATTATGTGGGTTATGTGCTCCATGCTCAGCCGCATAAAATTAGAATGTGGAAAAATAAAAAGGGAGAGAGGATAAGGAGCTGGAAGATTCGGAGGACAGAAGTCTTGTCTCTGGCCTTTTGCAGAGCGGTTGAATGCCAGAAAAAAAGTGTGCGTGTGGAAGTGTTTGACAGACCTTGTCGGATGTGGGGGTGGGGGTTGTTTTTAAGAAAGTGGCCTTTAATCATCACTCTTCCACATTACTCGGATGCAAGTGAACAACTCAGCCCACTGGGTTTTATAGAACCACAAGAGCTTTCAGGAGAAGTGTTTACAGCAAGCTAGAGGCCAGTTATTTCGCAAATGAGAATTAACAATCTGTAGATGCTGCAGTGAAATCAATGTTGCTTTGCAGGGAAGTCCTCTGGCAGAAAAGCTACTGCTACAGGAGGAAATGTTGGTTTGTTTTTTTCAGCAGAGGGACATTATTAGAAAGAATAGAAATTTGCCTTGGATAATTAAATGTTATAGCATTGTTTAATAAGCAGGCGRTGCTCCCAGTGAACCATGATGGGCATGTTTCACACCATTCATGTGCTGGGGGATTGTGAGCTTGTTTACATGGRCTCTTTTTGCTGCATAGCTTCATGAGATCCCCGGTGCAACCTTCCCCTCCTCTGATATGTGTACTTTAAGTTTTGCCAGAGATTTCTATAGACAAACCAAGACTGTGGAAATACAAATTTTGAGGGAAATTATAGCATAGAGTAGAAATTCATTAGGAGCAAAAGGCAAATGAGTATATTGTAAATGATCAGAGGAATCTGAAAGCAGCTTGGTGGAGGACACAGAGGTTGTCCTGCAAGCCCAGCTTCAGAAAAAGAGAAGGGTTGAGGCAGAGCAGGCTGGTGTAAGTACTGCACAGGGCTGTTTGTCTTTGCTCACATGTAACCTGTCTTTGGTCCCCATGCCTTGGGGAAAGTGGGGTGCACCAAAAATCTGCTATTTTAGCCTTTTTTCAGTACCTTTCTATGTAATCACTGGTCACGAACACTGGAGTAATATTTTCTTCTGTGGTCCTCTGGCTGTGTGCTCACTTTCTGCTAGGAAAGGTGGCATTGAAATACCTTTTCGGTTAGCTCAGCTGATGACTTTGTCTTACAGGGATGCAGATRCGAATGACAAAGGTGATTTGACCTTAGCCATTAAACAATATTCTTTTTCCCTGACTCTCAATAAACTGCACTCCGGCTCCTTGCTCTCTCTCTCTCTCTGTCTCTCTCTCCTGCTGTTTCAGAGTATGCATAATTTGTCAGGGTCCTGTTGTAATTATGGCTTTGTTGAGGAGTATTAGGATTACAAGGATGTTCCTAAATAGGATAAGGACAGAAATCACTTACCATGAAAAATAAGTTACCTTCTGCTGCTTGTCTGCCTGCTTGGAAAAATGTCCTTCTCATTGTTAAAAAGCCTCTTCAGTCCACACACACATTGCTATGAGCAGACCACAGGGATGAATCTTTTCTTGTAGGTTCGGGGTTTTTTTTTACCTACTGTCAGTGGCTGGCAGGTTTGCAGCTGTTTTTTAGAGATTTAACAGTACTGGATCAATATACTTTCAAGMAATGTTACAACACCAGATCTGGCTTGTGAAAGCAAAGAGAGAGTTATCAAAATTTCACTGCCATGGTATTGGAGAAGGTCATAAAGTTCACTTGTAGTTTGCAGTTCATTGCAAAACTCATCCAATTTTAAGGGAGGCTAAAGCAGGCCTAAAGGAGAATGGTTTTAGCACTGCTTTTGCAGGCAACATCATAATTTTCTTAAGACTAGGAAGAGAGAAAAGCTGCTTTTAGGGAAAGGTCTCCAGCTTTAAAATTGGTAATCTCTTAAACTGTTGTTCAATAGATACTACCCAGTACCTTGGACAATTCCAGACTACAGAAAATATCAGCTTGTTGACAAAATGTCAAATCAAAGTACATTTGTTTTATGGCAAACATTTCATATCTATATGCCCTCCCTTTCCACTGACTACATTTTGAGCTTATTATAGCAGTACTAGAAATTTTGCCCTAAAAGCCTAGAAGGTTGCAGGATCACCACAGTTTCTCTGTCATCAGGAGTGAAGGAGAGAGACTTCACTGGACCACAATAATGAATGTATGCGTAACCTGGCTTTCAACACTCAGGTTGTGCTACTCTTTTCTGTGATTCTTGCATACTTGCTGTTTTGAAGGCTAYTTGCAAGAAAAATGAGCTCTCATAAAAGGGCCACCAGTGATTAAAKTAGAGATCAGCAGCAGTTCAGGGGATGGGATGGAATTTCCTGGTCCCCTGTCCGCTTTTTATGAAAGTTACACAGCTGTCTTTGAGCTGTTCTACTGTGTTTTAGCCTGATAGTTGTAGCTTTGTTAGCAAGCTCTAGAATCAGTCTTGGCTAGTTGTTAGAAGAGGAGGGCAGGAAATTTAAGTCCCAATCCTTTCCAGTSTTATTTGTTTCTCACACAGTGAGATTTTTGGTAGAAGATTTGGTGTATGGACTCACTTGTGGTGGTGGTATGTTTCCTTTCTATGGAAGGGATATAAAATCATGAGCTTTGTGTATCCTAGGATCTTCCTGACTATGCCTGGAGCATGGGGCAGTGTCTTGTTACAGCAAGAAAAAGGAAAAGCAGCTGTTGCCTTTTTAGGCAGATTTGGGGTTTTTCTTCTGTGTATGAACAAGATGATGTTGATGAGCCYGTGAGTGSAGCCCCCTGCTCACATCACAGCAGMGACCTGGGAAATTTTGGGGGTGTTAGGACTGGAGCTGACATRAATCTTTGGATGTGTTAGAATCCCTCAGGACTTCTGTGAGCTTTTACCAATGTAATCAATAGTAAGAGTTGGAGGTCCAGAAGAACCTTCCAGTCAAGTCACTARCTGCTTCACCAGGATTCTACACTAAGAGGTCAATAACCCAGCAAATATGGAACTGTAATTTGAGGGTGGGATTTCAGGGGCCTGAGTTCAGTTCAGTGAAGCACAATGGGCCCTCTTTTGTTCAGTAGTTGTTTTCCCTTGAAGATTTGTTTTCTCATTTTGAGTTCTTAGTACTAAGTTTTAGTGTTCTTCTGAGATACTTGACAGTATATTGTGATACAGGGGTAAGAAAACGTTGCTCAAGCCTTACACTTAATAGTAATCACTGAATTTTGTTCAGKGGTTAGATACCAGAACACCATGTTTGATTGTTCCTTCCCTTATTCACTGTCTTAATACCACAGCATTTGCTTTTTACTACAGTTCTTGAGGTTGTCTGTAAATTTCTTGACTGTGTCTGCTTCATCAGTTCAACTTTAGTCACATGCTTTGTTTCTAAGAGGGTGCTGATTTGACAAAGAGCAGTAATTYATAGGCCTTTCCCTATGTCTTTATATATCCATATCACACAGTTTTTAGCACTGTTAATAATGTCACSAGTCAAATTTATTTTCCATCCCCAGGTATCGGTGACAGGTGACTGTGTATGTATCTCAACTTGTTATAGGTAAAGTTTCTGCTCTCCCTTATTCCAAAGAAAAATTCTAAGATCTGGCTTCAGAAAGATAGATAGTATAGAAACATAAACAATTATTTTAGAACAAATTTATGGGCTTTTTTTAGTGCCATCTGTTTCAATTTGAACAGTCTTGAACATGTGCTCTTGAGCACTAAGGCCTTGATTTTTTTGTTTTTCTTTTTTTTTTTTTGCTGATGGGGGGAATAATTGTGACACACTTCTCCCATTTAAACAGTACTTCATTCTACATTATTTTCTGTCTCCAGCCTTTCTTCTTTGCATGGAAGAAAGGAAATTGATGGTACAGATACTGCCTGAACTGGATGCCTTATGGTATTACCGGAGAAAAAYCCTAAGTCTTTGTCATATGATGTGCAGATATATGATATTCCAGTTTGGTTTAATTTTCTGAAATTTTATGTGCCAATCAAACTTGAAAAATAAACCCCAAATATTTCTTTCTCTTTTTTTTTTTTTTTTTTTGTGCTCAGGGCTAGTATTAGAAGCCTGTACCAACAGCAGGCCAGACTCAAATATCAGCTATGGCAACCCATGCATGAAGTTGATGCCTTTGAACTATTTCCTATAGATGAGACATAGCACATGCTGTGGTGAGTCAACAATGTATTATTTTATTAAATCATACTTCTTGGCAAAAAAAAAAGCCAAATGCCAAAAGATGCTTAATGCCCAAGTGCATGCTGATTTTTTCTTTTTTACTTTTTTTTTTCTTTTTTTTTTGAGGGGGGAGGCAGGGAACATTAATGTTACAACTGGTAGTAATTTTTAATACACATTAACATAATGCTGTCATCTTTTAATGAGTTTTCCAAGTGTATAATTTCTGCATTGCACAGTTATCAGATGGAGCACATTTGGAATGTAGTTTCAGAGGAAGTGTTAATATAGCAAAGTAATTCTAAAAAGATCCTACACATGCAGCGTTCTSAGCACTGTTTAAAATGGCAAAATCTGTTTCACTACTGCAAAATCCACACTTTAGGACTGATTTTTGTAACTAATGTTTTCTACTTCTTTGATTTGGTGTGGGGGAGAGGAAAGCTTGCTTTGTTTCTCTTTGAGATGTCTACAGAAGATTGTGGGGAGTTGTCACAGAATTTTTGGGCATACAACTCTTTATCCTTGGATAGGAAAATAAATTGTGAGAATAGTGAGGAAAAGCAAATAGTATTTTAAAAAATACTCTAGCTTTAACTATTCTAAGTCTGCTAATAATCTGAATGCWTTTTTCTTACATAATAAGTAATTTTTATGCTGAAAATGCCTTTAAGATGGCTTTGGTATACCTCTGGGCGATGAGGAATATTTTCAGATTTCTCATGTAATCTTAACAGAATTATTGTCAAAAYCTGTAACTGTTACACCAATAAGGTGTAGATCCAAGTCAGTGAAATGTTTTTGTAAGGAGATAGARCTCTTCATTGTAGATGTGGCACATGGATAATATCAAGGATGCTGAAATGAATGTTCTGGTGGGGCTTTCATCCTTGGTGAAGCTGCTGAAAAAAATKAAACAGGTGTCAGTTAAATCTGTTTGACTGCTTTGAAGTGAGATGAGTAGCAGAAAGCAGTGCCTACTAGTCCACTGGGAGAATTTGTGTTCTGTTGGAATCTGAGGGATTTCCTAACGGGAGAAGACATACACTGGACATGAACAGTGATTTGTGGCATGAAGAGCCACAGTCTGCRTACTCAGAAGCTTAACTTGCAGACATCCAGTGGAAGTATTAAATTTATCTAGAACTTAATAACCTTTCTGTATTGTGACTGTTATATTTTTAATTTCTTATGGCTTTTAAGGCCTATTGTCCTGTTGTAATTCTCATTAGCAAGACAACCTTCATCTTGGCTTAATGTGTGGGCTTTAGAAACTGTGACACTGAGCCTTTCATATATGAATGGGTMTGRGTAACTTGAATTTCTAATGAAGCCTGAGAACATACGACTTTTTAAAAATTAATATAATTTTGCTTTAAAGTCTGTGTTTAGGAAATACAGGTAACCTGCTAGTTGTAGATAATGAGAGTTGAATAAGCTGGCAACAGCAAARTATATATGATATAGTAGTTGATGGAGTGGTTTGTTAATATGTCCATGATGAGCAATAGCTAAACAGACGTTGCATGAAATTTTTGTGGTGTTTTGTACATGTTACTGCAATTAGCTGCTAGTCATGGCAGCTCAGTTCCTCTCACCATTAACATTATTAAAATTGCTGCGTAAGTAGAAAAAACAGTTCTTAAGAAGCTGGGTGATGATAATCCCCACCCTTAGTGATTTTTCATTTAGTAGTATATGTGGTGCTRATTTTGGAACAGTGGTACTGCTGTCTACCAGCAGTGTGACTTGATCATTTGTCCCTCAGGTCACCAAGATGTTTTTGTCTCAATGCTGCAGCTATTGATATTGCTGTGTGGGATTTAAAGCATGCACCAATGTTCAGGGTACTTTTGGAGTTCAGGGCACATCTAAGTCACCTCCTCCAGCTTTGTTCTTCCCAATTTAGATTTTAGGGTAGGTAATCAATGCAAATACCAGGTTTTCATAAATAGTATATGAAATGTGTCAAAAGAACTCAGAGATGTCATAGGGAGAAAGTTGCTTGAGAAGTTTCCTCCCAGTAGACATTAATAGGCAAAATTAGTTTAATATGTTTTACAGAAATTAAGGACTGCAAGGTCTTTTTCTGAGAGTACAGTGCCACAAAAAATACCTGTAGGTGTCTTCAGACATATAATACAACCCTTTACCACATATTTAAAGCTTTGCATGTGCAGGAATTAGACATGCAGTTCTGAAAACGTGTGTGTAGCAAATGCAGTTTGAAATCTGGGGCTTATGCTGTCCATGTGGGCTCTCTCCAGTTAATATTGGTCATTAAGGCAGTCACTCTGATCATGTAGCTTGCTTTTGCATTCAGCAATTTCTGTTGATGAAAACATAAGCTTTGTAACTGCAGAACTTGTATGTGAAATCAGAAACCACATCTAAAAATTAGCATATAACTAGAGATGTTAAATGTAAAAATCTTTTGAAAATGGTCAGGAAAAGTAGCATTTGGAGAACAAAAGTACATATCAGTATTCATCGTAGAAAATAACGTACGGAAAAAACTCAGGATATTTTGTTTAACATTAAAGCAAGGCTAGTTCTGTGGGTGATGGGCATTTTGTAAAGCTGAGTTAATAAATTTGTTATAAATCATGTGAGAGAAAGGCTTTGATACATGTATGCAGAGAAACAAAGTACCAGGGATAAAGGAATTTTGGGTCTTTTTTTAAGCAGTTGAAAAAAAAAAATTAGAGGATCTTTGTGTTTTGTAGTGTCTTGGCTTGGTATCTTGCTACTACAGTCRCATTTTTTTGGAACATTGTGTTGGTTTCTCTTATGTTCATCACTGTGTAAGTGCTAAGTGCACGAGGAGAAATCAGAGRAACTCAGAGCACAATTTTCTCTGAGAAACTTGTGTTCTGCTCCTCTGCCCAATAGAAAACTCCTGTTTATATTAAATTTGCTGCATATGATAAATGTAAAAACTTATTACCTGTTACTGATGATGGTGATGTAATGTGCAACATATTTCTCCTTGGAGGACTGTTGCCTGAGCCTATTTCCAAAAGCTATTTGTCATGTGATCAGCTACATGCAAACAAAGGTTTTCCAGAAAGTGACCTCTAATACTCAACACATAGCTACTTTTAAGGGGGCTGGATTTTTTCCAGAAGGTGCTGAGATCTTTGCTTTTAATTACAGACTTTGCAATGGAACCACTTGATCACCTTTTATTTTAATAAACTTCAGTGGAAATGCCATAAAAGGGAATTTTCCTRCCTTTGCATTTTTTGTTGTTGTTGGTCATCTTTTCTTCCTTTATATGGATTTTCTTTTTTGTCTCCTCAGGATGTTGTTTCACAGAATGTTTTCACTCCCCTTTAAACTCACATAACATTATGTGGGRTTATGCCGTTAGATCTTGTTTTGATTCATATCTGTTCTCCCTCCATCCTTGGTTTGTTTTAGTTATTCCTACAGTCCCTAAGATTAGTATTKTAATTAAATTATATTGAAATAAATATAGGATTGTCAACTCTTGCAGTATTTAGGGTTTTTTAATGCCCTCTGCTAAGTATCACATACATGTGAGAAACAACAAACTTCCTTTTAATAAAATGTAGGCTTTTTATTTATATTACTGAAAAAAATTAAGCTTGAGTATGTGAAAGAGTGAGCCTTCAAAAATGCACAGCCTTCCCACTGAGATTATTCTCTAATGGTATATTGGAATTTTGAGATCATATAAACATGAGTGTTAGTCATTTGGGAAAGATAGTCTCAATTTTTTTTTTTGAAAATTTATTTGGAAAGTGAAGATCTGCTGCCTTTCTGATGCTTGTAAAGACAATGACATACCTTGYGCTGTGTCCACGTCTGTATTCCCTCAGCAGCCTGAATTGGCCCAGCAAAAGTCAAACTATTTGCATATTTAAAAAGCCAAAATGGAATTTATTTAAAAAATTGAAGTTCAGATGTCTGTGTTTGGGGGATCTGCAGTTGTTTAGTTTTGCTTTGGAATACGGTTGGGGTACCAAATGCTTTTATTCTGCCACGTGTCAGTCTGAGCTTACTGAAACAGAGTGAGCTTAATTTATGAGCTTAATGCTTTCCTGTGTCAGGCGTGACCTGTGAATATATCCCATGAAATATTTGTGTCTGCTGTATTTTCTGAGTTCCTGATGGAAAAAATAGCTCTGAACCACCTGCCAGGCTAGTTCATATTTGGCAGGCTCCTCTTCCAACCTTATGGAGAATATCCAGGACTATTGCTGTGGAATATGGGAGTAGAATGTCAGAAAAATATCTTCTGAACCTTTTARTTGTTTTCCAGTGTGGTTCTTATGAGCTGTATTAAAATAATTTGAATAGYCTGCAGAAGAATAAATGGAAATGCCAAATCAATAATAAAAAACACACGGAATGGTGCCAGCAGAAAGGTGGAAAAGAGATTGAGGCAGCAGTAAATTCAGCTTTTTAATGTACATGGCATGCAAATGCATATTATATAAAGTGGTGGGAAGTATTTTCTACCCACAGGGCAAAAGGTTTTGCCTGCTTCCACTTCTGGGCTTGTCAGTGTGATGTGTCTCTGTGCCTATTGCCTTGTGACTGTCCCTATCAAAAGTACCTTCTCACAATTTGTTAACAGGGCAGAAACCTAAGTCTACCATGTGACACTTCCAGCTTTTCCTCTGCTGTTGTGTGTATTGGAAAGAACAGGGAGCACTGGTTGTGGGTAAAGGGTGTTGCACTTGTAGGAAGGAGCACTCCCAGTGCTGGCAGCATCAGCTACTGCATTCCTGCTCCCTGCRTGAGGATTTAGATGGAGCTGGCTCCAGACAGCAGTGTGCCAACTGCTGTACAGGCATTAGGTTAGCAGCTTTTAGTTCTTGGGCAGTCATTTCCCAGCTATAAAAAAGAGTGAAACAAGCCAAASATGTGTACAGAGTTATCAGGGCACTGCAGCAAATATGACATTAATGTTGTGTTCCTTCTCTCTGAGCTGTTGTGTGTTGGGATGGAGAGTGGCAGACAA